CGCCCGCAGCAGCCGACACGCAGGAGGCGGTGAGGCGCTACATTCGCTCACAACCGGCGCTGTACCGCAAGGTGCTGCGGTACCAGCCCTTCGAGCTGGCGGAGCTGCAGGCCGAGCTGAGGCAGAATGGCATCCGTGTGGCCGCGGGTCCGCTGTTGGACTTCCTGGATGCCCAGGGCATCACCTTCACCACTGCCGCCGCCCGGAAGGAGAAGCTCAAGGGCAAGAAGAGGCGGCCCCCGGGCAAGAAGAAAGGGGAGCGCGACTGACAGGGCCCCACTCCCCAGCCGCAGCTGTGGGTCTTTGTCACACCCACTGCCCCCACTGACGGTCCACGGAGCACGGGGGCACTGGAACACTGGCTCAAGTCTGGCCTCCAGGCACTCAGGGCCTCGGGACCACGTCTATGAATATGCGGCACCACTGACCAGCTGTCCTGGCAGTGCCGCTGCCCAGTGGTGCTTGGGGCACATCGCCCCGGGTTTGAGCTCCAGCTCTCCCCCACCAGGGCCACCCAGTTAGGTCCCCTGTGTTCCAGAGGGTGGTGGCTGCTGCCAGGTGGCCAGAACAAAGCCCTGGGCTGCCTCTTCTGCTGCTCTGCCCACTAGTCCCAAGAATGATGCCTGAGTGCATCCTGAGCTGCACTCCAGGTCCAGTCCACCCCAGCCGGCCTGGGCCTGTCCTCTTCAGCACTCAGACCAGTCATGGCCACCACCAGCAGGCTCCCTGTGCCGCCACACCAGGGTTGCTGTCCTCTGAGACATGCCACTGCCCCCCGCAGTCTGACCTGGCCCCAGCGCAGCTCTGAGTCCAGCGTGAGCTCGCTCATTCTGACCGGTTCCATTTGGGGTTGAACTGCCTCCCACCCTGAAATGGCATGGGGCACAGGCTCAGGCCAGAACAGGAAGACCCAGGGCTGCGGTCCGTGGGAACGTCCTTCTCCGTCGTGAACACAGTGCAGTCAGCATTACGTGATGTGCAATAAACAGCTTTATAGAAACCTGGATGCTGCATGCCTGCACCGTCCCTGCCTGGACCCATGTCTGCAGCAGCCCTCCCAGTGCCTGCTAGCCTGGCCCACTGGCCTGTTGCCCTCGGTAAGCAGGTACACGTGTTCTTTGGCCCTGCATCTGCCTGAAGCTCAAGCCCATGCCATACGGTGAACCTGGGTCCTCGCCTGGCCAGGTCATCACAAAGGCAGGTTCCGCCTTCCCAGGCCATGGAGCCAGTCTGCCTTTACGGGAATGCACAGGGCGCCCCAGCCTGTGCGTGGGCGGGTGGTCAGTCAGGAACCAGCGGAGACAGAACTGGGCTCTCCGCCTAGCAGTGTGTATCAGGGACGGCTCCCTGAGCTGGGGCTTAGGGGCGAGCCATTCTTAGGGAGGTGAAGCGGGTTTCTTGAGCACGTATCACAGGCCCGGACCCACGCTCCAGCCCACGCTGCCCACCTAGGACAGATAGAGGGAAGCTGTGATCCTGGCCATAGGGGGATTGCTTTAGAAGGTGCCACATGTTCTGTGCAGGCTCGATCTCTCTAAAGGAGGGAGACATTTATGAAGGCAGAGACTCAAGCTCTTTGGTCCCAGGGTCCTGTGTGAGCTGGTAGCCTGTGTGTCTTTCTCTGGGAGCACTGTCCTCCAGAGGGGTCTACCCTGCAGATGCTCAGGCCGCCAGGCTGGCCACACACTGGGGCGGGGAAGATCCCTTAGAGGCCACTGAAGTGCCTCAGAGTACAGGCGGGGTCAGGCCTGGACTGTGGGCAGGGAACGTGGCGGCACAGCCGTCTGCTCAGTGACCACAGTGGGTCAGAGGAGCTGCCGCGAGGGACCCCTCAGGACAAGGTGGGAGGTTAGTACTAGAAGGCCTTGGTCCGGCTGGCGGTGCTGTCCGGAGCCCAGAGCATGCTGGACTGCAGTGCTGGAAGCCACGTGGCTGACGAGTTCGGATCCCAACTGGGGAAACCAGGTTCTTACACTTGGCCAAGGTCCTGCAGGAGGGTGGGAGGAGGGGTCGAGCCTTGAGCAGGCCCTGTGGAGAGTACTTCTCCCCCTCTCTCCATCTCTGCTTTCATGAACTCACACAAGGCACGGGCCAGCAGATAGCCTGGAGGTTCAGGCAGCTAGATCCCATATAGTCCCTGAGTGGTTCAAGTCCCAGATCCAGCCACTAGAAAAACACTGGGCACACGTGCGTGCATGCCCAACTTCCCAAGAGGAGAATGGAGGCAAGGGGATTGCAGCGTGGCCACCCCCCTTGGGGTGATTTCTAATTTTCTCTCAGTCTTTGGCAAGCACACACACACGATACCAAAATAAAAATTAAAAAGAGAGAAAAAAGTACAAGTTTATTTTGGTACAAAAACAATAGCAATCCATTTTTTTTTAAGAATGCATATTTTCCATGAACTTTTTGAAGACCTCTCATACATATCCTAAACATATAAAAAGTGCTTACAAGTCAGTAAGAAAAAAAACTCAAAATGAACTAAAACATTGGTCAAATGTGTCACTAGAAGAATTTAGTGGGCTGTGGCAGGCGCCGTAGTGGGTGAGAGTCCACACTTGTCTGTTGTGTGATGAGGCCCCCGGCCTGCCCCACTTCCCGTGGCCCCAGTCCTGCCCCGGCACGGACATGGCCACGCGGGGAATCGCAGGTACAACTTGGGCCCAGGCACAGGGGCTCGCAGAGGAGGGCCCCTACCCCTGCGGGAAGGAGGAGGCTCCTGCCTGTCTAGGTGGCCCCAGCTCTGGGTGGACAGGAAGTGAGGACGACTCAGAACTCCCCACACACCCCACCCCACCAGGAGCAGTCCAGAGGTACTTGAGGGCACAGACCAGCCTGCCTGGGCTGAGGGGCCTCCTGTGGGGGCAGTAACTCAAGTGCCCCCAGGATTCGTCCCTGTGAACCGAGGGGGGCGCGGAGCGAGCCTCTTGACCTCCTTGGTAACAGACCACCAGGCCCTGTAGGTCCCAGCATCCTGTGGTGGGCCGGTGTCAGGCCTGCACTGCACCCCACGCCCAGGCTGCAGCCGCTGCTTCTGTGCTCAGCCTGCATAGAACCTCGGCTGGCTTCGTGGGGGCCTGTCCTGCCCTCCCAGCACCTGGCTGTTCTGGTGTCAGACGGGTCATGCCAGCACTTCTGTCTGCTCACACGTGCTGGAGAAGGGGCTGGTAACACCCACTCACGCCTCCCCGCCATGTACACGGGCCGCTGTGTGCATCTGAACCCATCACTCTCTGCCACCACCACTGGCGGGGCAGACCCCAGGCCCCGTCACTCGGCCCACCCTGTTGTCTCCGTTCCTCTGCAGCCCCGTTATCTCCCGCCGAGAACAGCCACATTGCTGGCTCCTCTCGGAGCAGTGAGCTGCTTTTGGGGGCCCTGCGACTCACAGGGAGACACTGGGGTACAGCTGTGTGACAGGTACAGGAAGGGAGGCTGTGGGGCATTGGCGCCTGGAGGTGGGGGGCAGTCTGCCCGGCGACACCATTGTCAGCTGTGTGACCTCAGAGTCACTGAGCTCCCCACGACGCACTGGGCCTCCCATCCTGACCACTGCCTGGGAGCCGGCATCCACTGCAGGTGAGTCTTTCTGGGCGGCTGGCGGTGAGGGGTCACAGCTTTGGCGCTTTCCAGGGGCACCTCCCCCCACCCCCACCCCCCCACACACAGGGTGGTGACAAAGCCAGACAGCCGGGCCGCGGCTGCTCTGCTCATCGATGCGCTGCGAGGCTGCTGGCGTTTGAAATCAGACAGGAAGGAAGGCTGAGGGGAGCCAGCGCAGGAAGAGGTGAGCCGGCTGCGGTGGCAGCAGCGCCCTCCCTCCGCACAGCGTGGTAAGGCCCGGCCCCTTCGGACCACCCAGAGACCCCTGGGCCTCCACCGGCCTCCACGGCTGGAGCAGGGCTGGGCCCAGGGCACAGATGGAGACCTCCTGCACCCCCAGTCTCGGCAAGCCCAGACCACCATCGAGGCCTGGGAGGTAAGTCGAGACCTGGGGAGGAAGTGGGCACAGCCGGCAGGAAGGACGGAGGCCCTCGGGACCGGAGCAACCTGGGGAGGTGGACTAGGACCCTGGGAAGGGGTCCCCGGGAGCCGGGCTGCTGGACGGAGTGGCTCGTAGTGTGCAGTGGCCCAGTACCGGCCCTGGGGACAGCCGGGCTCCTGGGTACCATGGTGTCTCAGCAGGGCAGGAAGCCCCGGAAGGCACCGTAGTTGGGCAGGCAGCAGACCCCGAGCAGTGTGGGCCCCACTGCAGGCCCCACTGAGGGCCCTCCCTGGCTGCAGAACCAGGAGGCGATCATTGTTCTGTGCCTCAGTCCCCACCTGCACAGTGACAGACACCAGGACCTGCCCGAGGAAGGTGTGGAGCCCCAGGTCCAGGGCAGGGCCTGCTTACCCCCTGCCAGTGGGCAGCCCAGGCCTCGCTTGGGGAGACGAGGCTTGCCCGCCAGAGTTGGTTAGCTCAACACAGAGGGCGCACGGCTGGCTGTGACCTCCTGGTGACCGGACGCCTAGGGCAGGTGCTTCTCCCAGCCTGGGGCTCGCTTGTGTCCCACAGCCTGCAAATGGGGCACCCGCTCTTCTGTTCCGGGGGCTGGGCTCCTACTTGGGTTACAGGGATCTGCAAAGTTTGGGGCGGCATCGAGGTGTAGGCCCCATGTCCTCCTTCCTGGGGCCACCTCAAGAGGGCCGGGATGGAATCCCCCAGTCCTGGGAGGGAGCAGGCAGGGAGTCGGTAAGGCGATCAAAGGGGCCGTGCCTTGAGCTGTGGGCAGCCAGCACTGGCCGGCCGGCCACCAAGCAGCAAGTGGCAGAGCAGTGGTCGCCACCAGAGGGCCTGGCAGCCTCCGTGGGGATGGAGACCCCAGGAAGGAAGCCTAAGATAAGGTGTGGCCACTGGTGGAGCGACAGGTCAGCTGGGGCCTGGGGCTTCTCAGGGACCAGGCAGAGCCGCAGGGACCCGGGGCGGTCCCTCCCCACAGGTGAGGCTCTCCGAGGACAGGCCCTAGGGACACCGGGGTGGCACCCGCTCGTGCCTCTGGTCTTGCCTGCCTGCCCCAGCTCAGACCCTCTGTGGACTGACCTCTGGCTGTCAGAGCCCCCAGGCGACTGGAGGACCTCAGTGCTCGGTCTTCCTCTCTAACCGGGCTGAGGCACTCTCCTGGAGGCCGCATGCACTGGGCAGTCCACCAGCTGGCCCTGGTGGCGTCTGTGGTCCCCAGGCCTCACCCGGCTCAGCAGCCTGCAGGCCAGGGCTGCAACAGGGGCAGTTGAGTGGCTCTCAGGCTGGCCCAAGGAGATGGTGGTGACAGGGACTCCTGGTTCACCCCCCTCGGCCTCGGAGAAGGTGTCAAGGTGTCAGCCAGGGTGAGGCCGTGGGATCTAGTGCGAGCGGGGCCCAAGCAGGGATGTCAGATAAAGTCTAGGACACTCGCAAATTTCAGATATTCCAGATAAACTAAAATTGCACAGGACGTGGGGATTTCGGGTAAATAGAAATAAAAATGTGTTTATTCAGATTCAGATTTCACAGGGCGGGTTCCCAGTTGCTAACTCTGGCCATTACAGGCCCCAGGTCAGTGGGCGGGAGAGATAGGGTCTGGTCTGAGGGGCCTTGACACCTGCGGAGACCGACGTGCTGCAGAGCAGAGGGGCTCCCCTCCTCACCCACCACTGCCTGCGCTGCCCACGCTGCCCGCCTCTGCTGCTCTTCCAGGTGCCCAGGGGCTCTCAGCTCCAGCTGGAGTCACAAGGGGGCTTAAATAAATTCACTTGGAGGTCCTACCCCCCACCCCGATGTAATCACTGGGTGGTCAGGCCAAGCTGTGGGACCAGCAGGTGGCGTAGCGGTTATGTCATCAGACTCTCACGTGGCTGACCGTGGTTCAAGTCCCAGACATGGTGGCTTCAAATTCACTGGGGGCCGGCAGGTGATGCGGTGGTTAAGGGCACTGGACTCCCATATGGCCGACCATGGTTCGAGTCCCGGGCCTGGCGGCTTACTTTCTCACTTTCCCTCTCTCCCTCTCTCTTGCTCTGTCTCTCTCTGGTCAAATTAAAATAAAATAAATCAGTAAATAAAGAAAAAGTTAAATGAAATAGTTATTTTAAAATAAAATTTATGCCAGGTGCGTGTGCGTGCTTGCCCCAAATCCCAAGAGGATGGAGGAGAAGGGGTTGCAGCATGGCCATCCCCCGAGGGGTGATTTCTCACTTTCTGTCTCTGTCTCCCTGGCGAGTGCACGTGCCCTACAGCAAAAACCTCTGTCTAAAAAAGAAAAACAAGACGTGCTCCACAAGTGACTGGCACGTGGCAGCTCCACTCTGGAGTCTACGGTGCGCATTCCTAGCCCTGAATCTGGAATCCCGAACTCTCTAAAGTCCAAACATTCCGAGCACCGGCATGGCGCTACCAGTGGGACCTCACCTGTCTCCTGAGACGGGTCACGGTCATGAAATAGCAGAGAGGATTATCTTCAGGTCATGGTGTGAGGCGTCGGTGAAACACCGTGTCACCTTTCAGAGTGGGTCTCGACCCCCATCTCTCACCGTGTATGTGCTGTATCCCCAAATCCGTAAAATGCTCTTTTCCTCCCGAGATTTGGGCATGCACACACACACCTGGCATGATTTTCAAGCCACCAGGTCCTGGCCTTGAGTTGTGGTCGGCCATGTCACCTGTAGGCCCAAGGTCAGGACCTGAACTGTGGACAGCCATGTGGTTCTGGCTTAACCACATCACTACAGGGCCAGCCCAAGATTAACTTTTTTTTTAAGTTAATTTATTTCTTCCATGAGAGATACAGAGAGAAAGAGAAGGAGAGGGAGAGACAGAGACAGGCGACAGAGACAGGCACCCTCAGCCGGGTCTCATGCTATGACCCACTCCAGCTGCAGCCCAGGGGCGCAGGCATGGTGCACACCCACCTCCAGTGTGCTGGACAGGCCTCGGGCAGAGAACCTTGGGCCCCAGCGTGGGCGCAGCCTCAGCGTCGCCTCACCACGGCCCCGGCCAGCGGCCCTGCCAGCTCTCCTTGATAAACCGAGGGACAGCTTAGGTGTGGTGACGTGAGCTCCCTGGCCATGTAGGCGCCCCAGGCCAGCACGCAGACACGTCCTGTACCCTGGCAAAGCCCTGCATGCCCTCTCGTGGTCAGAGCCCCCTCAAGGGCCACCACCACCTTCATGTCCTTTGCTTCAGATCGTTTGGGCCTGATTTGAACCTCTTCTAAGTGGCATCGTAAAGCATGTCCTCTTGTGTCGAGTTCTTTCGCTTGACATTATCCATATTGCTGAGGACATCAGTCATTTCTTTTTTAAGAGAGATTTTTGCTGTGGGGCATGTGCGCTCTCCAGAGAGACAGAGGGAAAGCGAGAAATCACCCTGTGGGGATGGCCATGCCGCAATCCCTTCTCCTCTCTTCTCCTCTCAGGAACTTGGACATGCATGAACATGTGCCCGGTGTGAGTTTCAAGTCACCAGGTCTGGGACTCAAAGCGCGGTCAACCACGTGGGAGTGCGGTGACGTAACCATTATGCCATCTGCTGGTCTCAACAGTCATTCAAAAAAAATTATATATTGATTTATTTCCATTTGTCATTATTATTATTATTATTTGACCAGAGACAGGGAAAAGGAAAGGGAGAAAGCAAGCCACCAGGTCCAGGACTTGAACAGCCGTCAGCCATGTGGAAATCCAGCGCCTTTAACCACCACGCCACCTGCCAGCCCCCTCATCAGTCATCATTTAAAAAGCTTGTTTAGTTCTATGAGAGAAGCAACAAAGACGTGGTCTCAGCACCATGCCCTGCCATGGGCACGTGTGTGCCTGGTGTGCTCAGGGAGGCCTTGGGCGTGAATTCTTCCCGCTTGGGTCAGCCCCCCAGAGCGTGGGTCTGTGCAGCCGCCCTGGCTGCTGGTGCTTTCCTCTCTCACGGTGGTGTGGGCCTGACCGTAGGAGCACCAGCCTTCTGCTGTCAATGGACGTAGTTAACCGCATCGCTGGACATTAGGAATTAAAGCTGCTGTGGACATTCTGGTACTCATACATGGTGGACATAAACACTCATTTCTTTTCGGGTTCAAGAGATGAATTACAGGGTCACAGAGAATATGCACATTCAGCTTGATGACTGAGTTCCCCAAGTGTGTATTTGCCATTTTTGTTTTTGTAAAGAATATATACATATATTTTTGGACAGGTTTTTGCTATAGGGCACGTGCACTCACCAGACAGAGAGAGACAGGGAGACAGAAAGCGAGAAATCACCCCCCAGGGGGGATGGCCACACCGCAATTCCTTCTCCTCCATTTTCCTCTTGGGATCTTGGGTACCCACGCACATGCACCTGGCGTGAGTTTAAGCCACCGGGTCTGGGACTCGAACCGTGTTGACTATGTGGGAGTCCAGTGACATAGCCATTATGCTAACTGCTGGTCCCTAAAGAATTATTTTTTAATTAACTTCATTTATTTATTTTAATTTGACAAGACAGAGACAGTGAGAGAGGAAAAGAGAAAGCAAGCTGTGAGGTCTGGGACTTGAACCACAGTCAGCCATGTGGGAGGTCCAGCGCCCTCAACCACCACGCCACCTGCCACAGCCCACTAAATTCTTTTTGTGACATACTTGACCAATGTTTTAGCTCAGGTTTTTGCCGTAGGGCATGTGCACATGCTGGAGAGGCAGAGAGACAGTGGGAGGAAAGCGAGAAATCACCCCCTGGGGTGATGGCCATGCCACTATCTCATCTCCTCCATTCTCTTCCTGGTTCCTGGGATTTGGGGCATGTATTCACACACTCCTAGTGTAAATTTCAAGCTACTAGATCCGGGACTTAAACCGCAGTTATCCGTGTGGGAGCCTAGCGACTTAACCACTATGCCACCTGCTGGCCTCTAAACTTGTACTTAAATTTCATCTCTTCCACAAACTTTTTGAAGTCCCTTAAATATCAGAACTTTCCTAGCCTTGTTTTTCTTTTTCACCCTCTTAGCGCTGCCTTTTAATTAAGAGACATTACAAATTGTAATGAATCCTAATATAGCATTTTTTAAAAAAGAGATTTTTGCTATGGGGCACATGTGCTCACCAGAGAGACAGGGAGACAAAAAGCGAGAAATTATCCCCCAGGGGCGTGGCCACGCCACAAGCCCCTCTCCTCCATTCTCCTCTCGGGATTTTGGGTGTGCACTCACACGCACCTGGCGTGAGCTTTAAGCCCTCAAGTCCAGGACTTGAACCATGGTCAACTACGTGGAAGTCCAGTGACATAGTCATTACTCCATCTACAGGTACTGCATTCTTTTCAATGAGGAGAGGGCACATGCACTTGCCAGAGAGAGGCAGAGAGAGAGGGAAAAAGCCCCCACCTCAGCAATGGGGCATGACCACACCACAGTCTCTCCTCCGTTTCTCCATCCTGTTGAGATTTGGGGTGCATAAGCAACGTGCTCCCAGCATGCTTTTCAAGCTGCCTGGGCCAGAATTCGAATCATGCTCAGCTGGGTGGCACCTAGTTTCCTTAGCCAGCAAGCAGGCTGCAGGGCCAGCCCAGCATCCCGTGTTGTGATAGTGCTTTTTGTGTTTCGTTTTCACCTACCCAAATCATAAAGATATTCTCCCATTTTTTTTCCCTAAAGGTTGTGTTAGCGTTCACATTTAGGTCTATAATCTAGCTCAAATTAATCTGTATGTAAGTGTGAGGTAAGAATTGAGATCGACTTTATCTCATTCCCTAGTTTACTGCAAAGGCCATCTTGCCCCCGGACTGTTGCAGGGCCGTTACTGTAAACCCGGGCCTACCCATGGGGGGGTCTGCTTCTGGACAGTCACTCTACTGAACTGGCCTACCTGTCACCCTCGTGGCAATATGATAGCTTTATAGTAAGTCTTTTTTTTTTTTTTAAGAATTATTTTATTAAACTTTATTTATTTATTTAAATTTGACCAGAGAGGGACAGAGTGAGAGAGAGAGAGGAGAGAAAGAGAGAGAGAGAAAAAATGAAAAAACAAGCCACCAAGTCTGGGACTCAAACAATGGTCATCCAAGTGGGAGTCCAGAGCCCTCAACCACCACACCACCTGTCAGTCCTGCTTTAGTCTTAATATTGTCTAGTGTGAATCCTCCAGCTTTGTTTTTCTTTTTGTAGAGGTTTTTGCCTTGAGTGCGTACACTTGCCAGAGAGACAGTGAGAGGAAAGTGAGAAATCACCGCCCTCCTCCCAGGTGGGATGGCCACACCACAGTCCCTTCTCTTCCTTTCTCCTCCCAGGATCTCAGGCACGCACGAACACATACCTGGCATGAGTTTCAGACCACCAAGGATCAGCAGTTGGCATAATGACTATGTTGCTGGACTACCACGTAGTCGACTGCAGTTTGAATCCCGGACCCAGTGGCCTAAACTCATGCCAGACATGTGTGCGTGCGTGCCCCAAGATCCTGCGAAGAGAATGGAGGAAAAGGGAGTGTGGCATGGCCATCCCCCCTGGGGTTGAATTCTCGCTTTCTGTCTGTCTCTCTCTTTCTGGCGAGTACATGCGCCCTATAGCAAAAACCTTAAAAAAAAAAAAAGAGTTTCAGACCACCAGGTCTGGGACTTGAACCATGGTTGGCCATATGGGAGTCCAGCAACATTACCACCACATCACCTGCTGGCCCCTTTGCTCTTCTTTTTCAAAATTGTTTCGACAGATGCTGGGCACATGCCCAAAATCTGGGTAGAGGAGGGGTGCTTGGGACCAGCAGATGCCCTAATGGTTATGTCACAGGACTCACACATAGTCGACCATGGTTAGAGCCCAGACCCGGCAGCGTCAAACTCATGCCAGGTGTAATTCAAAGAGGAGAACAGAGGAGATGAGATTGCAGCGTGGCCATCCCCTGGAGGGGTGATTTTTCGCTTTCTGTCTCTCTGGTGAGCGCACATGCTCTATAGCAAAAATCTCTCTCTTAAGAAAAATGTTTTTGTTATTCTAGGGTCCTTCATATTTCCATATTTCTGCTCTTCCCTCCCAAAAAATGTCTGCTGGGATTTTGCATGGGCTATCAGTGAATCGATAGGTAAGTTTGGGGAGAAATGACACCCTAATATTATTGAGCCTTCCACCCGCATACCTCAAGGT